AGCCAAAAGCAAAGCTACTCGACGAGAGAAACCTGATCTCCTCACCAAGGACCTGATAAAAGCCAGTCGTGAAGACAAGGGACGTGAATGGTGGGATGTAGAACCAGTGATCGAGGTTAATGAAGAGGGAGGGAAACAAGGGAAGGGGTGCTGGAGGGAAAGGTTGCAGTTGGTGTAATCTTGGAAACCATGGTTGAGCTGGCCAATTGTGAGAGATCAGAAGGAGTCATCAGGGAGTGGTATGAATGAGAATGAAGTAACTGGATAGGAGGATAAACATAAAGAAACTTGTGAGACCTAAAATCCAATGACAGCATTCTTCAAGATCTGTTTTACAATGATTTTAAGGTTATTTAGTTATTTCTGTAGCCAATGACAGCATTCTTCAAGATCTGTTTTACAATGATTTTAAGGTTATTTAGTTAACAAACAAAACAAACATTATTTCACAGTTTCATCATATATCTTGTTTCATAAAACACTACAATAAAGCAGATGGAGTAGCCAAGACATTAGCTTCATGTAGCACCTATTTTAGCTAATCTGGTTTTATAATTTCATGATAAAATTGTATTAGGAAGGAGGCATAATAATTTCAAACCTTCATTTTACTGTATGTTTTAAGGATAAGTTTTTGTCTGTTTAAAGAAAGAATGTGTAAGAAGTTTTACAGCATTTGGATTGTAAGCTTTCAAACACTGTATTTCCCATTGATGAACAGAAACTTCTCTTTTTACATTTTCTTGATCTAATGATCATTAGTTGCATATTGTTACTATAAGTTTACTTTTTGTGGGTTATATTTCAGTTTTGGCAGTTTCTTTTTGTTTATTAGTATTTTAGTTCATGGATCTTTTAAAGTCTAATTTTTAAGTTTTCTGTTTAGAAATGGAAAAGAAACCAAGACCGTTTTTGAACAGAACAGTTTTAAAGTTTTAGTGAATAATGTAATTAGGATATACCTTTTGACAAAATAGGGAATCAACTTTTAAGTTCCTAAGCTACCAGTTATTATGGTGTTGCCTTGAACCAGATGTCATACTTTTAGAAAAAATTAAAGAAGTATTTGCAGCTTATTTATGGTCAAGCTTTTATTTGGATTATCCTCAAACTTCTAGCTTATTTAAGTAATTTCCTTAATTTCAAGAGTAGGATTCGTATTCTCAAGTGTTCTTTTGCTGTGTACAACTTTACTTGTCAGTACTATTATGAAGTTTACTTGAGGAAACAGTTTGCTAGTTATCCATATGTGTACAACATCAACAACTTATGTCCAAGTGCATTGAGTAATTTTGTGTTTACTGTTGTATCAGCCATGACTGTGACTGTGCTCTTGCTTTTGGTGACTTAGTAATTCTAAATACCAGTAATGAACAAACTCTTTGTATCAAAGAATCATTCATTGTACATCAAATTAAATAAAGTTAGTTTAAACAAGTGATCATTTTCTTTCTTGCTGAAAATGTAAGTAGGACTTTTATTCATCTCATACAGTATGAAAAACTATCAACATATTAACTAAACCAATATGATCCTTAAAAAACCTTAAATATATAGTATTGAATTATTCTTAAAATATTATATTATTAGTTGCAAGGCATGTGTTGCATGTTTTTTTGTTTATTTGAAATAGTTGAACAACAGATATCCATCTCAGGGTCAGAGACTTCCTCCTGAAGGTCTTGATAAATCACATCTTGATGCTTACGAACTTTTGTCCACTGCTCTGACTAATAGTGTCAGAGCTGAAGCCGAGAGCTCATCCTTAAATCAAGAGATAAAGAAGAGAAAAGCAATGAGCTATGTAACACCAGAGAATCTTGCTGCCCTGAGCCACATTCAAGCTTTAAAGATTCAAATTTGTGAGTTGCTCTTAGATGGACATGTTCATGCATCCAGTTATTCGTTACGGAAAAGAAAGCATGAATTAATGTGCAAATACAGTAAATCCAGGTAACTGAATTGAAGTTTATTTTGTAAATATTAAATGTAATATAATATCCGATATGGTACTTCCCTCCTCTCACAAAATTAGCTATTCTCGTCCAGTGCTGCCCTCTATATGCAAACTTTTCTTTATGCATGACACAAGTCTTCCACTCTCCCCTATTTGAAGCAAATGATTCCAACATGCCACTCATGCAAATCATCATGCGTCACTCCTCCACCAATAGTAGCATGACATACGTGATGCATGTGACTCCCTTTATACGCCTCTACCAAACTATTACTTCTCGGTTGGCAGCTCTTGGATGTGTTCCTTTGTTTGTTTCAAATTTCACATTCAACTTTAGTATACTCATGAAATTGTTTTCATTTATATCACTTTCAAGTTTATTAAGACCGTTTCTTCACTTTAATTTAATCCCTGTTTATTACAGTCGTATTATTATTATTAATAATTTCAAAATTTGGTTGACTTCTCTTGATATAAATTCTGATGCCACTTCAGGGGTCACACCTGCGACTAGTGCTATGTCACAGGCCTCAGGTGCAGGCAACCCAGCAGGAGATTTATTGGCATTTATTTGTAGGGAGATTAAATGCTACGTGGGTCAACCTCTATATATTCGGACTGCTCGGACTTTGTCTTACCATCTAAACTCTTTTACGGTATCTCTCTAGCATCCATCTTCTCTTTGAGGCTCTCCACCAAACTCCTGTAGGGTTTTCTGGTGACATCCTCTCCCTTCTTTCCTCCATGTTAGCTCATTTGTTATCTTTGGCTCTGGCTTTGCATACATGGTTTCTCTGTTGTTGGGACCTTCTAGGCCGTGATGCGACCTTTAACTTGCTTCCGTTTACCAGCATATTATCTTTGGGACTTATGTATGGGCTCCATTTTTCTGGCATTACATATTTGACACGATCCCTGAGTTCTAGGAGTCATGAGTTACATCAGTACAACAACAGTCTGCCTTTCCACTCTTGTTGCTCTTTTTTCTCGGTTGGAGCCAAATATGGCACCTGTTACAGTTTCCCATCCTTCCCCTTCCTAACCTGTCCTTTCTGCCCAGGGTGCCTCATCTTGTCGTTTTCTTTGATGACGCATGTCACGTCACCAACAGTATCTGTGACTACCCTGTGGGCTCTGGTCTGATGAAAGGTTGAATTTCCAATTTTCTTCATCAATGGCATCCTTTTGTCAAGGATCATTCGGTTCTTCAATTTTTATCAGAAGGATTTGTGATCCCGTTTCTTTCCCCCACCTTTCATGTCTTCTTCTGTTTCCTTCCCTCCACCTCGGAATCCAATGACTGGCCAGCATCTATCGGAGGTGGTTTGGGACCTACTATCTCAGCAGGCCATCAAACCTGTTCTACATACTTCATCAGGTTTTTATTCCAGACTATTTGTTATTCGATTTATCCTGCCTCAATCAATTCATTCAATTTCCTTGTTTTACCATGGAGTCATTTCTCACCCTACAGTGAGTGTTTTCTCTGGGTGTATGGATGACCAAAATGGACATCACCAATGCTTATCTACACACCCCTGTCTCAACACGGTCTCATTCATATCTTCAGTTCTTCCATTATGGGGTGGTTTACTATTTTTGTGCCCTACCCTTAGGGCTTGCTTACACCCCTTATGTTTTCTATCAGATGATCAGAGCTTTTGCTCACCATCTTTATGCTCTGGGGTTGCAATTTCACCATTATATAAACAACTGGCTTTTTATGGCTCATTCTGAACTGGAGTCGGCCAGCCATACTCATCAACTCCTTCACATGGCTGCTTGGGTGGGCTGGTTAACCACATTAGAAAAGTCCTTCCTCCATCCTACCTAATATCTTGTCCATTTAGCTGTCCTTTCTACACTCATCTCAGTTGGGCCCAACCTTCTCCTCTATGACTTTGTTCCATGAAATTGTTAGTTCGCCACTCCCTTTTAGCTCCTTCATTTTTTTCTTGCAAGGTTCTATTGCTTTTGGGGATTTGGTCTTCAATGATGTCACAGATCCCCCATGGTTGTGCACATATGCAATCCTGTCATTGGGCTCTTCACAATCAATGGAACCTTGCTTGGGATCCCCTTGCAGCTCCTGTTACTTTCCTTCATACCGTATTGGATGATCTGCTTTGGTGGTTGTACAAGGCCCATACGTCGGCAGGTATCCCGCTTACTCCTCGTCATCCGGATTTACATGTGTTTACGGACACATCCCTTCAGGGCTGGGGTGCATGTGTCAATCACCAAGAGACTTCAGGTCATTGGTCTGTCGATGAGCAGAATTTGCATATCAACGTCCTTGAGCTTCTTGCAGTCTGTCAGACTTCCTTTCTCTGGTGATGATTCATTCCAACAGTTCTTTGGTGGTAGCACATATCAATCACCAAGGGGCACATGATAAAGATCTGTCCGTTTTTGTACATTGGATCTCTTATACTGCGCCCACACGCACCACATCCATCTCATTGCATGTCACATTCCAGGTGCTTTCAATCTCGTAGTGGATCATCCTTCCTGCCCTGACCAAATTTATCAAATGTAGTAAAGTTATTTAGTTATTTCTGTAACCAATGACAGTATTCTTCAAGATCTGTTTTACATTGATTTTAAGGTTATTTCTGTAATCAATGACAGCATTCTTCAAGATCTGTTTTACAATGACTTTAAGGTTATTTAGTTATTTCTGTAATCCTGTAGCCAATGACAGCATTCTTCAAGATCTGTTTTACAATGATTTTAAAGTTATTTAGTTATTTCTGTAGCCAATGACAGCATTCTTCAAGATCTGTTTTACAATGATTTTATTCTTCAAGATCTGTTTTACAATGATTTTAAGGTTATTTGCCAATCAAAGTTGACTTAGCTTTTGTAATAGGAAAAACCAAATTAAAACTTTATGTATTTTTTAACATGTAAAGATGAAATGAGTATCTTTATACTTTAAATATTCTCATGTAAGCCAAAGACCTGACAGAAAAATATTAAGAACATATTTCAGCTATTAATAATTTATGCAACTGTATCTTCTGTTAGAAATGGAGCTTTAATTTTCTTCACTAAGAGGCATTCAAGAAGGATAAGTATATATATATATATATGTAATCAAAAAGTGAAAACATGTAAAGTAATGTTTTATTCACAGATATTTAACATAATTATAACTCAGTTTTTATAATTGCCATAAGTTATTTCTTTTTCTTTAGACTAAAATTAATAATGTATCATTTTTAGTGATCTTCTCCTCGACATTGAGGATAATGTAAGAGATGAGGAATTTTCAGAACAATTGATTGAAATGGTTTTGGGTGAGTAGAATTCTGTTTTATTGGAAAAAAGTAACTTTTTAAAAAGAAATGTATTTTTTAAAAGACATTGGTAATATAAGTAGAATGACCATGTTATTTAACAATTTTTTATTGAATGTACAGAATTTTTTGATCAACATAATGTATTTATAACCAGATCAAATAACAATTCTTATATTATTTTTAAGTATCTCAATACTAGCCATTTAGTTTTCCACATGTTTATTTGTTTTATTTAGTAAATTCTTCACAAAAGTTTTAAGATATTATTTCAGTGTGTACGTAATTTTCGACTCTGATTTCATTTCTGTTCACTTGTGTCTGATGTGAGATGAAGGTTGTAATATAGTAAAGTAAAACACTGATGTTTGTTTGAAGCATAGGTGGCATGTATATTAAGACAAGATCAAAATTTTGCCTTGCATTTTTTTGTATTTAGTACTGTAGACAGAAACACCAAAATATGGTTGTTGAAATTGTAAAGTAAATATAAGAACATGGAAGGGAATACCTTGGTCAAATGTCATTGTATGCTTGATAAAATAAGTTGTTTAAGGATGAAGAAAAGCTTTTTCTTCCATACAAAAGTGATTATACATCTTAATGACTTTGAACTACCATTTGTAATATTAGTTTTAAAATTCAATATTTTCATACCTTTTCGTTTCATTGGTAGGTGAAAAATTGTCACGGAAGAACAATGAAAAGTTCAGTCTTTCTCTGCCTTCACTTGAATCACGGGTTACTTCTGATGATATGAATGAAACAGACTCATGTGATTCTCTTCCCGATGACAGCGTAATTTTTACATTTAAGAAATTTTAAATATGTGCTTGATGTTGTAATACTAAAAGCCTTTCTTCTCGAGTTGTTTTCATGCTGTCAACAATCGTACGATTTCAAGTTCTTAGTGTCACTGATGAAACGCAAAACATAGGTCAACTTACACAGAATTCTCTGCTCTCCTACCTCCATGTGACTTATTGTATATCCATCAGAAGAATATACATAAACCCTGCTCTCCAACCATAAGCCAAGTTGTGGGGAAGTCTAAAGTTGTTTGTCACCTTCGTTGAAAATGGTTTCCATCCTTCATTTATCACTGAGAACTAAAAAATAATAAAGATGTATTATTGATTTTATTTCATATTTTTTAATTTTTTTTATTTCATTGTATATCATTTGATTTTGCTATGGTTAGTGTTAGGGTAGAAAAATAAGAGATCAAGTGTAAATTTTTACTGAAAAAATCTCAATATTCATTTAGGAGGTTCTATAGGCTATGTAAATGAAATATGAAACTAAGATGAAAATAAGTATTTTTATTCTTTGCATGAAAATCACTTTTCACTTAGAAACATTCAATATAGGCTTTGTAAGTTCATAAACAATTGTTTAGTAAAAGTAGATATTAGAAAAACCACACTTTTATGTACAAAAGGCTTGTAAGGTTTTTACTAAAAGTTTGCCAAATTTCGTGAAGATACACTAAGTACATTTAGTTTTAGTATATATATAGCTTCATGGTTACCTGGTGGCTACAAGGTTGGTCAAAACAACTGAGCCTGTGTAGAAAGAATTATTTTGTTTATTGTGGTCAAGGTCTTACTTTTGGGAACCTGTGTTCTTTATGATACTTTTCAGTTCCTTCTTCCATTTCAGTGTGGATGTTCTAGCATTTAGTTGTTAAGAGGTGAGTCTACCTGGTTTGAGTTTTAGATTTTTAGAATTAATATGAATTTCAAATGGGTGCTTACCTTTGCAATATGTTCTTACCCATTAATGATTTTAAGTTATAGTAACTAAAAAATAATATAAAACTAGAACAATATAAAAGACTGTACATGGTGAGGCATACTAAAAGTACCGTTGAACAAGTTACAGTCACTGATCATAGAAGTAAATGTTACAAAATAAATAAATACATAAATTGAATAATAAAAAATAACAATAACTAATTCTTACATGAAATAATAATAGTTTCATAGGGCAGACATTGTACCTGTTAATGGAAGGGCATTTGGATTAAATTGGATAAGATTCATTAAATTTCCTGTCAAGAAAGTTGTCACAAATCTCTAAAATGTTGATCCTATAAGGGTTCTCATATATTATGCCATGTGGTGACTTTGTTGTTAATACTTGTAGTGAAATGAATGAGTTCCTTGAAATGATCGTGTATTGGATAACTGGATTCACCTACATGAACAACTGAACACTTTGTACGTCATTTATAAAAATGAATGAGTTCCTTGAAATGATCATGTATTGGATAACTGGATTCACCTACATGAACAACTGAACACTTTGTACAAGTCATTTCATAGACAGTTTTCACAAGTGTGTAGGAGTACTCTAAGACATTAGTCTTAGTAAAGCAATTTTTGGATTTCCATGGATTGTTGGAATATCCTTCAGTTTTTATTGGATTTTTGTATGATGTGGATATTCAAACCAAATCTTCTATTTGCTTGATGATGAAAAGTAGATAAAGTTTTATCCACAAAGGGCATAATCCATGGAACATTGTTTTGATATGGTGGTTTTTTTTATTCTGTCATTTTTTAAAATCTGGTGAGTCAATATCATGGAATGTCTTAATAATGTAACAATTAAGATAGCCATTGGACGGCATTAGCTTTTGAAGCATTAGCTTTTGAAGTTTCATCCTGGCTTGCGTCTTACCATCCATGGTGTTGTAGATTTTACAATTCTGTTAAATTGACTAATAATGATAATGAGTTCACTCCAGAATGAAAATGACTTCCCAGTACAGCACTTCAACTAAAAAGGAAGCATCTGTGAAAAAGATTAAGATCTAAAGGATGAAGAAGAAAAAGACATTCCGATGACATAAATTGTTGGTTCAACCCAAACTGAAGAAACACGAGAGTGATGATAAAAA